GTGCATAGGTGCGTGCGTGGGTGTGTTTGTATGTGAGTGTGAGTGTGCGTGTGTGGGTGTGGGTGTGTGTGTATATATGTGTGTGTGTGTGGGGGGGGGGTGCATAGGTGCGTGCGTGGGTGTGTGTGCGTGTATGTGAGTGTAAGTCCGTGTGTGTGTGGGGGGGAGGGTTGCGTGCATAGGTGCATGCGTGCATGCGTGGGTGTGTTTGTATGTGAGTGTGGGTGTGCGTGTGTGGGGGGAGGGGGTTGCTTGCATGTGTGCGTACGTGTACGGGCTTTTATTCGTACCGATCAAGGGGTAAAAACCTATTATGACATGTAAGGTGGAATTATAGTTCAATATGATTATAGATTATGTTTTGACAGGGAGTTTGACATAAACATACTCGCCCCTTCTAAAACCATTATATTCCCATCGTTGGAGTGAATTACAATGTGTTTTCTTATTCTTTCTTGTTCTTATTCCTTCGTCTATCCACTGACTCCGATTATAGCACGTACGTGTGTCGAAATGTCGAAAAGAATTTATTACTCAGACCAACCCGACCCGACTACTGCCGCACCAGCGGCCCAACTCGCTTGTTTGTGTGGGCGCAGTCATTACGCCGCCCCACGTGACCGTCTTTAACCAGTCACGAGAGTTTCTCAAGGGGGCAGGAATTATCAATGCACTGCACTGGCTGGCCGTCGTGAATGAAAGCAAGCATCTTCCCGTTGCTGTACACGTCTCCGTACGTGGCCGTGTACATAAGTGCGTGCAAGACAACTCGGTTCGCGTTGTCAGCCATGTTTTATAGCGTAACAACAAAAGAAGTTCTGTAGCGCACGCATGACTGATCTAAATAATTTGACTGGCCGAGTGAGATTCACACAGTCCGACTCAGGAGTTCCCACGCCTTCTTTGACATCGGCAAAGCGCAGATGAGTAAGACAAAGAAAGTGAGTGCACGTTGAGTTGTAGTAGCGTATGATCACTGCGTGTATGTAAATGATCACGATCGGTAAATGGTATTCTACTGACGTAGAGTAAGAAGAGCACAGGACACCGGATCGTCGGAGAAAGGACAGCTGGTTCGTAGTGACACCCGTTCGATATACGCCTTGCTTACTTCGCAGCACATGTACTTATGGCTATTCAGTATTCTAACTGCACCGACACTTCGTCTATTTTACGGTATGCTTGAACCAAAGTTATATACTAATTACTATATTAGTTATTACTACACTAGTACTCGGCGCAAACACGGGTATAAGTTTATTTAACAGAACTAGTAGTAGTTGTGTCTCGATATATCGTTATTGAAATCATCATGGCTGCAATTCAGGCTGGTTGCAAGAGATTGTTTACATGATACAGCAAATACGACAGCCGTGCACTTTATGTTGAATATTCATCCTGGGTGTATAACATCTTAAATGCATTGCAGACCATGTTTTGTTGGTGGTGGTGGTCATATTTTACTTGTATGTGTGCAACAAAAAGTAATGCAATCTTATGTTATGTCATGTTGAAGCTATTATACAAACAGAAGCGATGTGCATATAGTACCTGGTCTAATCTGGCATAACAACGCTTTAGTACTATAATTATCTCAGTTTACATGTTGAACTAGATTAGTTGCACGTGTACATCCTTCAGGTTAAAGAAAGAACATGTGTATCATGTGAAGTAAAACTGGTATGGGTGTGATACCCACAGACTAAACAGGGATTGCTGTTTAGATGAAGTAGATCCAGCTTGGTTTGTAGAACATGCCATGGCATAAATTTTAACTGATGAGACTAGTCTCTGTTAGTGTAGACTTGAAAGGGGAGATTTTCAGTTTGAAGTCAGTTAACAAGAACATTTCCCAAAATATATATATGTGAGTTGCCATCGACAAGTCATAATACATTACATGTAATAACTTAGAGTATTTATGCATCGATACTACCAATGCTGTCAAAAGGGATGCATGTGATGTATTGATGAATAATTTTCTGGTAGGGTAGACTTTTTTAAAATGTACATGTAGATTCTGTTCTTTTGATCATGCATTGTATCACATGGTAGTTTTAGTTACATAGCTATGTTTCACATATTATTTACTAAATTTCACCCTAGTTCACAAGCCACAATAATTCTACATGCCGCCCGGCGCCTGGTGTAAACACCTGTATTCTCATTTTTAATAATTATGGTACTGGTAATCATGAGTTGGTTTTCTAAAGCTAATGAATTCTATAAAATCATGTAGTAGTTTGTGTTTGAAATTTTTGCTGCCCTGTCTAATTATTTATAGCCTGCTTATAAAGTTGTAGGGCTATCGTACTGTAGGGTGCAAGAACTTATGTGAGCATTCTTGTAATTCCAAAGTACATGTATCGTTAATGATTGATTTCTAAGATAGTCTACTAGATTTCAAAGTAGCCAGTCTATTTGCCAGTTATAAAAAATTGTATGTATCTTTCTTAGGCAGGCTTGTCTCGAAACAAGCCACCGTTCTAAAATTTCGAAAGTATATTGTTATTGCCGTGAGTCAATTCTTCTCACGAATCAATTGATCAGTTTATTAGTAAATGTATCGTGACGTTAATGCGTCATCTCTATCAGCTGTGATGTGGTAACTTTATAGACCACGTGACTCTTATTTACAATGTAACTACAACCTTTGCTTTGTTTACACACAATGATTGTAGATAATATTGTTATATCATGTACTGCCACAGTGTCTAGCTGTTGATGTTACTGATGAAAGTAACTGGTTTAACTGGTTAAGTTGAACTTATCATCTGATGTCTATTTGTTTATGTTTTACTTCTAGTAAAGTAGAAGAAATGGAATTGGAGTTCTATGGCGATCTAGTTAACCCCAAACAGGATTTCATCTTTGGTAGAATCATGTCCGCCATGGCTATAACTGCAAATGAAACGGTAAGTCCAAGAATAATAATTATCATAATCACTATACTCACTTCGCTCATTTCACTTGTGTTTTACACGTCGGATATTCCAGCATATTTTCGATTATTTTGTGAAAGTACACAATAATAAAACATTGTTACTATATGAAGGCAAGAACTTTATAACTTGGTATGTGACATCTCAGTTTCGAGTAAAATATGTAGATATATCTATAGATCGTAAGCACAGATAGATATATAAGTTACAGCATGCATTTTTAAGTGGTCTCGTCTGGTTACTGTTATCCTGCTGTTTCATAATCGGATAGACAGAGAAGCCAGCTTTATTAATGGGTTATTTCTAAATATTGATACAAACATGTCTGGACATTTTTCCCAATTGATGTAAAATTAATTATGTGCTACTTTGTAATACATATGTACTAATAGCAGGGTTCGTACGGGTCATGGAAAACCTGGAAAGTCATGGGATTTCATTTTTCTTCAAAAGGCCTGGAAAAGTCCTTGAAATAGAATAATTTTGTACAAATTCATGGAAAAGTCATGGAAATATGTAATATATTAGTTTTAAGTAGTTGTTTGATAAATAAATTGCCTTTCAATTTCCAACATTATTTACGGTATGTCACTTTATTGCTCTAGCCTAGCTGCTAGTTTGTGGTAAATTGCATCAAAAAGGTCCTTGAATTTATGGATTTTGGCATGGAGAAGTCATGAAAAGTCATGGAAAAAATTCTCCAACCTAGGGGAAGAACCCTGAACGTGGCATTTCATTGACGGGGCAAAGCAGCCCGAGAATAAAAGTAAATTGTAAACATGTATGTTTCCGTGTACATCTAGCATGGGCTGCATCGCACAACTGCGATTAATAAAAAAATATGCGTAG